CTCTCACCCTTCGTCTCCTAAAAAGTAATCTCTGGGAAACTAGAGGAGCTCGACTTCTATCCAGAAAAAAAACCTCACCTTCTTCCCTTTGCCTGGGAAGAAAGTTCTGAGCCGCAAAACAGCTGATAGTCGCTGTCTTGCCGGCTCTTACACAATCCTGAGACGGGCGGCTAAAAAAAAAGCCGCCATCGGTGCGGCAAATGCCACCGGAAGTCCGTTGCATTACATTCTTGATTAAATTATCTTTTCATTGATACATAATTTTATGATACTATTCCAAAAAAGTGGAGTTATTAGCCATCAAACCTCAAATGTACACTTTTCCCAAAAGGTTTCCACAATTTTGGCCACTACTGTAATTTTTAGAAAATAAAGTAACATTATAATTGAATAGGTAAGATGTGTAACAAGACTAATAGACTTTGGTATGAAAAGGGAAAAAGGGAGAAGTTGAGATAAGGGAAATTTTGGTCACCTAATATAAAATATTTGGAAATCATAAATAAGTGTTTTTTTCTTTTTTTTAATATTGATGGGAAATTAAAGTTTATGTATAGGCTAAAAAGTATTGATAAATGTAACAAGATTTATTTATTTTTACTCAGTTGAAAATAAGAATTCTGTTTGCCCAATATGAGATAATAGATATTAGTAGAAAAAGAGAGGGAGTATTTGAGCTTCTAAAAATTAGACCTAAACTAAAATATTTATGTATATTACTGATTTATTGGTTAACCCAGACAATAGATATAATGGTTTTAATTTATTAGAGGGAATACTGTATTATTAATTGAATGGTTCAATATGGTGGAAAATAGATAACTTTTAGAAAACAGAACAAGACTATATTCAAATACATAAGATGTGTATTTAGAATATTAGATTTTGTTGTGAAAAGGGAAAAAGGAAGAAGTTGAGAGAAGAGAAACTTTGATTACCTAAAGCTTGGAAATTACAAATACCAAATGTTAAGTTGAATATTGATGGGAAATTAAAGCTTGGGGAAAAAGCAATAACAAGACATTGATCGTATATAAGGATTGAATGCAAACACAATTAAGATATGTATAAGCTAAAATTATTGATAAATGTAACAAAGATGTTTTTACTTAGTTAATAATAATAATAACTGTATTAGCCTAGTATGAGATAGTAGATATTAAGGGGAAAAGAGAGGAAATATCTGATGTTGTAACTTGAGATTTGTACTAAAGACTTATTGTATGTTATTGAACTATTGATTAACCCAGTTACCATGTTGCTTTTTAAATACTTAATTGTAAAATTAGAAAATTAATAAAATATTATATAAAAAAGAACATTAATGGTAGTTTTTAAAAGTTTTATTTTAGCAATGTTACATCCATTCAGTCATTCAAATTCTACTCACCAAAAGACCCATCTTGTCATTGGCTAAGCCAGTGTTTCTCAACCTTGACCATTTTAAGGCATGTGGACTTCAACTCCTAGAATTCCACAGCCAGCAATGCTGGCTGTGGAATTCTGGGAGTTGAAGTCCACATGCCTTAAAATGGTCAAGGTTGAGAAACACTGGGCTAAGCAATGAGGAAGCCTTCTCCTTGAAGGAAGGGAAGAAGTTCCACTTTGCAAACTAATTAAAACCTCAAGATACTCAGGTCAGCCTGTTTTGTAGGCAGCTGTTTTATAAGAAGTACTGCAGGAGACTAACCAAGATCCTTTGGTGCCATACTCTGAAGTTATTTATTCCAGCTAGAATGTAGCTGAAGCTTGGAAATTCTGCAGAAAGCAAGTTTCTCTGAATTACTAACATATCATCATGGTACAGAAAGAGGATTACCTGCTTGTATCTTTCTGGCTGTCTTCCAACATCAACTTCTATGACTGAGAAATGGCCAATAACAGGGTCAGTATGAGAACCTATTGTGTAGGCATGTACCTGGGAGAGAAACATATGGTTAGAAACAGGATATGAGATGTATCTAAAACTACACATGTAAATGTATTGTCTATAAAAGCAATAATGTGTAATACATTGTTGCTTGTAAAGACAATATACTTAAATTTGTAGTTTTAGGTGTTAGATTATAGGTAGTCCTCGAATTAACAACCACAATTGGAACTCAAATTCCAGTCATGAGTCATGGCATCACATGATTGGACTAGATTTTATGTGTTTTTATGATGATTGTTAAGTGACTCACTGCAGTCATTAAGCAAACCACATGGTCATATGAACCCAGTATATGCAAATGGCATTTTTGCTGGAAAATCTTCATAAAGAAACCAAATCCCAAGGCTATTAGATGAGACAACTTCCTGCAGGCTTCCCACAACTCAATCAGTGGAGAAGTTGGCAGGCAGTTCCAGATGGCTGTGAAGCAGGATAGCAGGCAGGAAAATGGTTGCTGCCTGTTGGGGGTTAGGATAGGGATTTCCTGCCTGAGCAGGGGATTGGACTAGATGACCTCCAAGGTTCCTTCCAACATTATTATTATTATTATTATTATAGAATTAGGGTTTCATAGAGCTACAGTACAGGAAATAAAATTAGCATACTTCAGTAGGCCAGCCAGATATTATGCTGCCTGTAGATAAACATTCAAAAACAATGTATTCTAATTCTGAGTAAAAAAGCAGTAAGAGCATCAGTGGGAAAAAGTTTACCACACAAACCAAAAAGATGCTTTTCATGTTTTGTCCATATATCTTTGCTTGGAAGGTTTAATTGCTTACTGTCAGTACCCATCTCTTTGATGGTGGGGGGGAACTTTTGCTGGTTCAGTCTTTTCTTTTCCCTTCTGAGGGTTTTGCCATACTCCTGGGGGGAGGGAAGAAGCTTAGGGAATTGTTTTGTATCTTTTTCCTTTCGCTTAGTGCTACAATGTATCCTCTCTGCTTCCTCTATCTGCTTGCTCTTTGAACTGATTCCCCCTTGATGTCTAGCTGGGGTGAGAAAGGAATGTGCCTCCAGCCATCTGGCTTATCGCTCACTGTGGAAGAGAAGGTGAGAAGACCCAACAACGTTTTCACAGCCTTGGGAATGGAGTCTTATCAGCCATGTTCCCACAGCGGACTTAACACCTGGGGACTGGCCCGTTTGAACTGACTGGATGAACTATTGGGGTGGGCTTTGCTTTTTACTCTTTTAACTTATTGATTTCAGCGGGAAACCCTCAGACCCTGCCTTCTATACCTGTTGTCAACGTCTCCTAATAAAAGTTCCTTTTGGGATGAAACCATTCCAAGAGTTCTGCTTTCTTGGGAAGAGGTTTTAAATGGGTCCTTACATTAGGCAGGATCTGCAGAAATCAGTCAGCCCAAAAGGAAGACCCTTACCGCAGTGACCGCACAAACCATGTCTGAATTAGATACGGAGAAAGAGGAAGCCACCATGGAGGGGGGGAATTTTCCCTCCAGGCTGGCCTGAGTGGATGCAGCTTACATTCCTCCAGCTCCTCCAATGAAGTTGTGGTTGCTGAGCACCGAGTTAAGCCGAGGTGGTCGATGGGCGTCAGGAAAAACGAAGATTCGGAGCGGAAAGCGAGGAAGGTAACCCTCAAATGTGTCAGTCACCAACCAGGCTAGAAATTGGAGATGGAGAGATCGCTCTGTCTCAGCGAGGATGAGGACAAAAGACCAGTCTGCTTCAGCCAGTTCTTAGAGTAAGCCATTGACATGCTAAGAGTTGCCTTCAACTCCCTCAAAGAAGAGAAGACTGACCCGTGTCATGGCATCGCAAACCCAGGTTCAACTGAGGAAGCAGATGGTGTGGGAATCAAGGCGGCAAACCCAAGTCCTTCCATCAGCACTTCAGAAACTGCAGCTGCCACCACAGCAATAGCCACTCTCGGCTGAGTGTACCAGCTGACAGAGACAGACACCAACCCAGAAGAAGGTGGGGTCACCGAGCCAGTTGGTGTTCTGTCCCAGCCTATGTGAGTCCTTGTTATGCTCACAAGGAGAAACCCCTCTTCCAAGAAACAGGCAGGAACCGCAAGAAAAAACCAACCCCTTTTATTCTCACAGACCTAGTCAATGTCCAAGGCAAACAAACACAGTCCACAGAAACTCAATCCTCAACATGAACAGTTGCCTTTGGCAACCAGCATCTTCCACACCTTCCCTTTTATAATTCAGCCAAGGTGTGGCTTCCTAATGCTTTCTCCTTTGCCTTTGGAGCCACCACATTGCATTCCTCTGTCCTATTCACTTCTCTTGCCTATACATTCATGCATCCGGGATTTTTCCCAGCTGTTCTTCATCACTGTCCAACTCAGGCTCCCATCACAGCTGTGTCTCAGCCTGACCGTGAGTAGAGGAGCCAGGCTCCTCATCTGACTGTAAGTCTTGGAGCTCCTCAGAGACTTCCTCTGACTCTAATGTCACTCCAGGCCTCTCCTCCTCATCTGATTCCTCAGACTCAGCTGCCAGATCCACTGGCTGGCGAGGAATCACAACAGTCGGAAGATTCTGCAACTTGGGGGTAAAGTACAGTGGAGAACCACAAAAATTGGGGTTCTTCTTTTTTTTTTGAAAATATTTTATTGGTTTTTAATTTTTAAGAAAAAGTACTCAGGACACACTGTGGTGTTTAGGTAATCAAACATTCCAAAGTAAAAACATAAATAAACAACTCAATTCAATACATTCACTGTTGTTGTGGAAAAACCACAATACTTACATCAGAAGACAAGACCATGAAGGGTTGGAGAAAATAGGCTTTATTTGTGCACAATGGTTCAGAGCATTCACATGACAAATTCTGAACCCTGAGTTACTCTGAGGGTGTCATTTTTATACAGCTTGCCGCCCACGCTTAACCTAATAGATGACTTCTTATCTACCTTTAACACACTAAAACAGAGAAGTTTATATCTTGAGGCTACACAAGGAAAAAGGAGAAGTTCACACAAACGGTTGTCTTACCACACCTCTCTACACGGGTAATATCTTACACCATCTGTGACTTTCAGTTGACACTTCTTGTAAAAATGTTTCTTCATAGAATTGCACACAGGTCATCACACTCAGCCAGTTTATAGTATTAGTTAATGCTTACGAAACATCACCTCTGTTAATTAAAATATAATTCAAAAGTACTTTATCATTTCTCTTAATGGCAATTTTCCATCTACCTCATTTCCCCCTTTGAAACCTCACTTAAATCTTGAGATTATTGGGGAGGTTCATATATTGGGGGGTCTCCAGCTGGAGCACTCAGTTTTACATACTCCCCCCTCATCCCACAGGGCCATAACCTGGGCTATGGCTAACAGGGAATTAATGACAATACTAATCAGCAACACTATAATCACCCAAATAGTTGGCATGAGCCCCTTTCTAATACAAGCAGTTTCCCTCATCCTTTGGCTGGGTTCCATGCTTAGAGAAGCCTAATACTAGTGACGCGATTGCAGCTTCCAGGGCAGGGGATTTTTGTTGCTCGTGCGATGGGTGTTAGCTTCCAGAGTAACACCTGCAGGGGTTTTCTTCACCTCTCCCGTTCGCAGGGGTACAGCTTCCAGAGTGTCACCAGAAGAGGAGAGGCTCCTTCTTCTACAATGCAGGGTGAGTTTAAGGGGTTGAGTTGGGTCACTAATCACTTTCCACTGGGTGGGGGCGGCCAATTTAACTCGGGACCAATGGATCCATGATTTGATTTCAGCCACCTTAACAGCAAGGAGAGAACACATAACAACAGTATATGGCCCTTTCCATTTTGGGCTTAAAACTTCCCTCTTCCAGTCCTTTACCCAGACCTCCTGTCCTGGTTGTATGTCATGTGTGGGTGTGACCAAGACATGGGGTCTTTGGGTTAGAACATATCGTTGTAGCCGCTGGACTATAGTGTTAAGAGCCTGCAGCTGTTCTAATTTAACAGTATCTGCCATTTGTTCAGAGTTCTGGTCACCTGGTTTGAGTAAGTTGGGGACTCTGCCATACAATAATTCAAAGGGAGACACGAGCAGCCCCCTTTGTGGGGCACACCTTACCGCAACCAGGACCATATTTAAAGCATCTGGCCACTTAAGCTGAGTTTCCTGACATATTTTTGCCAATTTTTCCTTAATGGTCTTATTCATTCTCTCCACCCTTCCTCCCGATTGAGCATGGAAACTACAGTCAAGCTTCCATGTTATTCCTAGCATAGCTGCTATCTTTTGGGTGGCTCTATGGATAAATTCAGGACCATTATTTAAAGAGATTCTAGATGGCAACCCATACCTGGGAATAATAATATGAAGCAAGGCTTTTGCGACCTCAGCTGCTTTTTTTTCTTCTTCTTCCTTGTAGGGATGCAATCCGGTCATCCAGTGTATGTACATACTATGACTAACATTGCTTTATAGGGACCTGAGCATGGCATGTCAGTGAAATCAATCATCAAGGAATCGAAGGGATAATTTCCTCTGGGCTGGGGTCCTTGCCTTGGGTTGTTGGCTGCACAGATCTCACATCTAGCACAAACATTTGCTGCAATACTGTGTATTTTATCAATACAGACTTCTCTCTTCAGGGCATTTGCCAGCACTGTCTTTCCCAGGTGCAGTTGCTTATGAACCTGTTGCACTGCATCCCATGCTATATATCCTGGGATAAAGACTCGCTGGTCTGGCAAAATCCATCAACCATCTTCCTGCCTTGCTTCCAGCACCTCAATTTGTTTCAAGTCTTCCTGAGAGTAGTTGGGTTTCACCTGCTCTTGTTCTTTAGGGGTCCATAAAGCTAGACAATTTGTATGCTCAGAAGGTGCCTTTTGTGCAGCAATGCGAGCTTCCCAGTCTGCCTTATTATTTCCTAATTGAATATCTGATGCTCCCTTTTGATGCCCTTTGCAATGCATTACAGCTACTTCTTTAGGCTCCCACACAGTATTCAGCAGACGCAATATCTGTGGTCCATACTTAACATCCTTTCCCCCTGAAGTTATAAGTCCCATTTCTTTGTATAAGGCTCCATGGATTTGCACTGTTAGGAATGCATACTTAGAGTCTGTGTAAATATTAATGCACTTTCCTTTTGCCAACTCCAAAGCTCTAGTTAATGCATGCAGGTCAGCTAGCTGAGCATTTGTACCGGGCGGAAGTGGCTCAGCTTCCCAGACTTCCTCCAAAGTCACCACAGCATATCCTGCCTTTTGAATGTCTTCTTGCATAAAACTAGTTCCACCCGTGTATATTGTAAAGTCTAGATCAAGCAGGGGGACATCTCTCATGTCTGGGCGACTAGCGTAAGTTTCCTTGATGGCTTGTATGCAACTATGTGTGGTTTCCAAGTCTGGTTCAGGCAGCAGCGTGGCTGGATTCAGTGAGTTTGATTGAATTAATGTAACCATTGGATTATGTATTATTAGGGCTTGATACTTTAGCATGCATGGGTTGGTCAGCCACAAATGTCCTTTTTGCTTCCAAAACAGCTTTAAGAGCATGGGGTGTGTAGATATCTGACTTTTGTCCAAAAGTCAATTTATTAGCTTCCTGTGTTAACAACGCTGTTCCAGCAATTGCTTTAAGGCAAGCTGGCCAACCCTTAGCTACATCGTCAAGCTGTCTTGATAGATAAGCGACCGGGCGATGCCAGGTTCCTATTTTCTGGGTGAGAACCCCTACTGCCACATTTTGCTTTGTATCTACAAACAGTTGAAATAACTTTTCCAAGTCTGGTAGACCTAAACAAGGGGCGCACATTAGAGCCTCCTTGAGAGTGGTGAAGCAGTTATTCTTTATCTCCCTCCTTTGTGGCCTCATATAGGGATTTTGCTATTAAACTAAAGGTAGGGATCCATATTCGGCAGAAGCCAGCAGCAACTAAAAATCCTCTTAACTCTTTCCTATTCTTCGGTACAGCAGCTGGCAGATAGTGGATGATGCTTTGCAAAACCAGTGGGGTTGTCCTCTGCCCACAAATATGGTACATCAAATTCTTCCCATCTGGCATTTTTCTCTATCATTTGTGCCAGCATCACCATTCTCCATTCCTCTGCATGGTTTACCCTGCTCCTGTTCCTCAGGGGTCCACAAAGCTAGACAATTTGTATGCTCAGAAGGTGCCTTTTGTGTAGCCATACGAGCTTCCCGGTCTGCCTTATTATTTCCTAATTGAATATCTGATGCTCCCTTCTGATGGCCTTTGCAATGCATTACAGCTACTTCCTTAGGCTCCCACACACTATTCAGCAGACGCAGTATCTGTGGTCCATACTTAACATCCTTTCCCCCTGAAGTTATAAGTCCCCTTTCTTTATATAAGGCTCCATGGATTTGCACTGTTAGGAATGCATACTTAGGAGTCTGTGTAAATATTAATGCACTTTCCTTTTGCCAACTCCAAAGCTCTAGTTAATGCATGCAGGTCAGCTAGCTGAGCATTTGTACCGGGCGGAAGTGGCTCAGCTTCCCATACTTCCTCCAAAGTCACCACAGCACATCCTGCCTTTCAAATGTCTTCTTGCATAAAACTAGTTCCACCCGTGTATATTGTAAAGTCTGGATCAAGCAGGGGGACATCTCTCATGTCTGGGCGGCTAGCGTTAAGTTTCTTCAATAGCTTGTATGCAACTATGTGTGGTTTCCAAGTCTGGTTCAGGCAGCAGCGTGGCTGGATTCAGTGAGTTTGATTGAATTAATATAACCATTGGATTATGTATTATTAGGGCTTGATACTTTAGCATGCGTGGGTTGGTCAGCCACAAATGTCCTTTTGCTTCCAAAACAGCTTTAAGGGTGTGTGGTGTGTGGATATCTAATTTCTGCCCAAAAGTCAATTTATTAGCTTCCTGTGTTAACAACGCTGTTCCTATCGCAATGGTTCTTTATCTCCCCCCTTTTGGCCTCATATAGGGATTTTGCTATTAAACTAAAGGTAGGGATCCATATTCGGCAGAAGCCAGCAGCAACTAAAAATCCTCTTAACTCTTTCCTATCCTTCGGTACAGCAGCTGGCAGATAGTGGATGATGCTTTGCAAAACCGGGGGGGTTGTCCTCTGCCCACAAATATGGTACATCAAATTCTTCCCATCTGGCATTTTTCTCTATCATTTGTGCCAGCATCACCATTCTCCATTCCTCTGCACGGGGTACTTCCATCATCACCTTTCCATATTTTATGGCCATTGTGCCATCCTCTTCAAAGGAGATATGCGCCCTTAGTTTACAAAGCAGATCCCTTCCCAATAGAGGAATTGGCATATATACAAACTGATGGGTTATAATTTTTCCTCCCATAGTGCAACTTAAGGGCTCCAAAAAGGGTCGCTGCAATATTTTTCCTGTTGCTCCTTGTATGTTGATAGAGTGAGGGGAGGCTTGGCTTAGGGGTTGGGTTAGGACTAATTGGGTGGCTCCAGTATCCACAAGGAAGGGAATAGGTTTGCCTCCTACTGTTAAACTGACCACAGGTTCTGGGAGGCGGGCTGAACCCAGTCGGTCTCAGTCCCACTCCTCTGCTTCTGCCAGGTCTATGAGGGGAGTTCTTGAAAATCCTCTTCTTCTTTCTCTCCCTCCCTGGCTTCTCCCTGGGCCACCTCTGTAGTTCTTCGCAAACCTGCCTCTTCCCCCTCCTTTTTCTTCATCCTTTTCTCTTTCTGGACATTCACCCTTCCAGTGTCCTTCCTTCTTACATATGGCACACTGGTTTTGTCCTAACACCATTCCCCGTCCTCTATCTCTGCCACCTCCCCTTGACACCCCCATCATAGCAACTGCAAGCAATTCAGCTTTCCTTTGCATTTTCTGATCCCTTTTCTTTTCCTCCTCCTTCTCTCTATTCACAAAAGTCTTTTGGGCCACTTCCATCCTAATCTTTTCCCTTTCTTCTGGATTAAACAAGGTCCCCATAAGTTGCTGTAGATCCATCCAGGTGGGGTTGTGGGTATCGACAATAGTCTTCACCAGGTCTGCTACTTCATTTGGTTTTTCACTAAATGGGCCATAATGAAATTTTCCAGTTAAGAAGGTCTGATGTAGTAAAAGACATATGTTGGAATAGAGGAGCTGTGGCTGTTTCTGCTGGATCTTCCTTACTGACAACCAATTGATCTACTTGTCTAAGGGGAGCATTCAAAGACGCTTCCTCAGTCTTTGCCCTCGTTTGTTCAGCTATCAGTCCTCCCACTTCTCTGTCTTCTGTTTGCAGTCCCGTCCATTCCTCTTCTGCCTTGGACCCCCTCAGCACCTCTTGCTGAAGGTCCAGCTTGGGTCCCTTGATCCTGGACATCTGGTTGGATTATGGCTTGTCCCCAGCTTTTTCTATTTTCTAAACTTTTTAACATAGGGGACAGTTTTGCATTTCTGGATCCATGGTGGAGGTCTTTGCAACAAGCCGAGCCACACATCAATATAGGGTGCCTGGTCTGGGTGCCCTAACGTGGGATGGAACACTAGCTGATGTACTTTTAGAGCAATGGATGGATCTAATGTCTGTGCTTGGCCAGCCTATATTAAAGCTGGGCCAATCTACCTCACTGAAGATCCTCAACTTATGCCTGCTCCACTTAATACCATAATCCTGAGCCCCATAGGCAGACTTAAAATGCTTTGACATTCACCCCAACAGAGTAAAGAGTACACTTTCACCACCACCCAATGAGCCTCCCAGGGCACCAGACAAGACAAATGAGGAAAAGGGATGAGAGGAATGTAAGGGGTCCTTCCACTTGGGATGACACTGAGGGTTTCGCTTATATGCGCTAGACCCAGGGAGCCGGAAACTCGACGGTCACCGATGGGAATTTCGAGCGCCACTTACTCACTGCAAACACACACAACAATCCTCCCACCTTATTCCAAAGAGAGGATGATCAGTCCTCTCCTCCGTCCCTGTTTACAGGGAGGGATTCCTTATTTCCCTTTCAATACTTGCCTGCAGGCGAATCCTTTGTCCTCTAGCTGGCTGGAAAGTTGCCTTGTCTCCTTACCCTTCACCTGTGGTTCTTGGAGTGGCCGACTGCCGATGCTGGAGCCCTGTGTCACAGGCAAGTCCCTCGGAATAAAAGGTCCGATGGCGCCTGGGATGTTCCCCCTAACACTACAGGCCCCTGGCACCAGGGTGTGCCCTCCAGAGAGCCCCAAGACTCCTTGCCGTCCTGCCGCGGTCGCCAGATAATTGTTGTGGAAAAACCACAATACTTACATCAGAAGACAAGACCACGAAGGGTTGGAGAAAACAGGCTTTATTTGTGCACAATGGTTCAGAGCAGTCACATGACAGATTCTGAACCCTGAGTTACTCCCAGGGTGTCATTTTTATACAGCTTGCCGCCCACGCTTAATCTAATAGATGACTTCTTATCTACCTTTAACACAGAGAAGTTCATATCTTGAGATAACACACATAGGAAAAAGGGAAGTTTATCCAATGTGCAGAAAACCACACTCCCCTACACGTGTAATATCTTACACCATTTGTGACTTTCGGTTGGCACTTCTTGTAAAAATGTTTCTTCATAGAATTGCACACAGGTCATCACACTCAGCCAGTTTATAGTATTAGTTAATGCTTTCGAAACATCACCTCTGTTAATTAAAATATAATTCAAAAGTACTTTATCATTTCTCTTAATGGCAATTTTCCATCTACTTCAAAACTACTCTCAGGAAGACTTGGACAAAGCTGAGGTGCTGGAAGCAAGGCAGGAAGATGGTTGATGGATTTTGCCAGACATGGGATGCAGTGCAACAGGTTCATAAGCAACTGCACCTGGGAAAGGCGGCACTGGCAAATGCCCTGGAGAGATTTATATTGACAAAATACACAGGATTGCAGCAAATGTTTGTGCTAGATGTGAGATCTGTTCCACCAACAACCCAAGGCAAGGACCCCAACTGCCTCAAGAACATCAGCCCAGAGGAAATTCGATTCCTTGATGATTGATTGCACTGACATGCCATGCTCAGGTCCCTATAAAGCAATGCTTGTCATAGTATGTACATAACTGGATGGCCGGATTGCATCCCTACAAGGAAGAAAAAAAAGCAACTGAGGTCGCAAAAGCCTTGCTTCATATTATTATTCCCAGGTATGGCTTGCCATCTAGAATCTCTTCAAATAATGGTCCTGAATTGTACTCTATTTCCCTCAAATAACATAATACGTTTAAAATATTCCATTTCTAAATTAAATTTCTATTACTACTAAACCTGTTTTAAAACTTTATCAGTTTACAATTACCAAAATCAAATTTCACTTTAACTCAACAAGTTATCAATTCAGGTAGCCCTTCCAGATATATTCTAGTTCTTAATTTCTCTCATCCCTCCTTTTATCACCAATCTCATTTATTTCTTCTTTCATTACACAATAGCTATCTTAATTAAAAAATAATGTTAATTCACTTCAATTCATTACAGAAACTTCAAATTTCATCCAATTGATTGTCATACCTTATCACATCTATGTTATTGTACAAAAAAATCATCTAAGTTAAAACATTCCATTAATTATTAAAACCATCCCAATCTAAAAAATGAACATTTTTTCAATTCCAGTACATAATTTTCATCAAATAAATCTGTTATTCCAAAAAGTATTCTTAATCTATTAAAATATCTTTTCTAAAAATCACCCTCATATATATATATATATGTTTATATTTTTTCTTGCTTCTAACTCTAAATCATAATCCTTAAAACAAACCATAAATCAAAAATTGCCTTTAAATCCATTACACAATTTTAAATTTCTCTTTTCAATCTAATTCTGGTTTTTTTCCTGTGCTAAGCAGGTTTCCATAGGGACACTTCCCTTTCAGCCAGTAGATCTGTCTTTGTTCCTTGCAGTAGCCTTTGCAATAATAGCAAGCCCATCCTCTGGATTAGACGTCTGTATCTCTCCTCCTTGAAGGGTCGTTGCTTTGTAGTCTGAAGTCTCAGTCTTTGCTTCTTCAGTTCCTCTAAGTTGCAGATGCTCTCCTCCTTGAAGCGTCGTTGCTTTGTAGTTTGAAATCTCAGTCTTTGCTTCTTCTGTTCCTCAAAGTTGCAGATGGAAGGTTTGTAAGATAGAATAAGTTCCTCTTTTATTTCTGTTGATTCCTCTCCTAATATATTTTGATTTATACCATAGTCAGATATAGCCTGGACGTCCATTTGAACATTTGAAGTGAAATCCCTAGATCTTAGTTCTGTAGTAAACTTTTTCATTGTAGCACATATTTCTGCAGTAGCCTCATAGATCTTTTCCAATATAAGTGTACAGTTTAAATGTGACTGAGGTTTCTCCATTTTGATAGTAATTAAAAAGAGTCTCTTTTTTCTTTTTGGTAGAGGCTATATTTAATATAATTTAGGCAATATCCACCCCCCACAGTTCAAAAATTGGGGTTCTTCTTAGTCCAGGTCCTGAGCTACATGGAGAAATATGGTCGGGACATCCCCAGTGACCATGGGTGGGTGAGGATTTTAACCACGGAAGTAGAAGGGACAGCGACCGAGTGGATGGTGAACCTCCATGATGCGGATGCTCCATAATTTCATGGCAGCCTTCAGGAGACGATTCAAGGATCCTTTGGCTAATCGGAAGGCCAGAGAGTGCATAAAGATTGTCAGGCAGGGCCGGCGCCCCATGGCAGAATACACGGAGGAATTCCGAGCTATAGCCAGAAAACTTAATTGTCCAGAGGAAGTTCTGATAGGACATTTCAAAGATGGGCTTAACCTATATTATGCCTGTATCCCCCGGGGCAAACTTGACCTGCTCTACGACTGGTACATCCTAGCTGAGGAGGCTGAGATTGATCGAGCCAGGAGGCAACAACGTCTGGGGAAATTCTGGGGAAGATCTCCAGCAGAGGCACCCCGGGAGCTGGCGAGACAGACCCCTACCATTCCAAGACCAACAGGTTGTTTCAAATGTGGGAAGGATGGTCACTGCGCTGCTGAATGTTGCTCAAAAACTCCAGTTCAAAAGTCTGACCGAGTTGCAGGGGGGAAATCCAGGAAAACCCCGCCAAAGCTGAAGGAAATGCCCATGAAAAGTGTGGAGGTTGTTGAGGTCCTAACCCCATCAAAACAGGGGGGGGACTCTAACCCGGACCGAAGAGCCCCAGAATTCTCGGAGGACATCTCGGAGGATGAATCCCTGGTAAGTGGACCCATCGTGCTCCTCATCAGAACTGTAGAACTCTTTAGCCCAGGGATTCTGAAGAAAGTTGCATTAAGAGCCCTGATAGACTCCGGTTGCACTCGCTGCCTCATAAGCCCAACCCTGGTGGGGAACTTAGGAATCCCGGTGAGGAGGCTGATGAAGCTGATTTTGTTTGGCCAATTAAATGGGTCCATTGCAGGGGGTATCCTGGCCACTCTCACCACGCAACCCGTCCAGTTTACCATAGAGAATCACGTAGAGACTCTAACATTTGTTATGACCCTGGAATGGAATGCCCACTCATATTAGGCATGGTGTAGCTAACGAAATGGAACCTGAGGGTAGACTGGAGAATTGGAGAGCTGAGGTTCCCGAAGGGGAAAATCAACACCAAGGGAGTAGCCCAGACCAAGGGGGGGGTAAAACCCCTGCAGTGAGCGAAGGAGAGTTGGAAGGCATACCAGAGGAATATCGGGACCTAGCTGAAGTATTCAGTGAAGAGAAGTCAGATGAATTACCCCCTCACCGACCCACAGACTGTGCTATTGAAATACTCCCGGGGGCAAAGTTACCTAAACCAAAATTATACTCCATGACACCACGGGAATTAGAGGAGTTACAAAAATTTATAGAGAAAAACTTGGCAAGAGGTTTTATCCAACCGGCAAAGCCAAAAATAGCAGCCCCGGTGCTATTTCGTGAAAAGGATGAGTCTTAAGATGTTTTATAAATTACCAACAAGATAATTGGACTGACCTACTTCCATTCGCAGAAGTCGCCTATAACAACGCAGTGCATTCCAAGTGGCGACGGGACAAAGTTTCAATCTGATGCCTGAACTACCCTCCACCAAGCCGACCATCCCTTCCCTGAAAGAGTGGATCACACAACTCCAAAACACTTGGCCAATTGTGAGAAAAGCTTTAGATGAGGTTAGGGAAGCATATAAATTCCAGGCAGATAAAAAACAAACTGAGCTCAAGCCATTCCAAGTGGGGGGGGGGAAGTATACCTTTCTACTAAGTACCTGAAATCCCCACAACCCTCTAAAAGACTGAGACCAAAATTTGTGGGACCTTTCCTCATTAAAAGGATAATCAATCTGGTTACAGTTGAATTAGAACTCCCTAAGACACTCAGACAGGTTCACCATGTCTATCATTGTAACCTCTTAAACCGTGAACTGAATTTGCTCTTAAGGCCAGCTGCAGCCCCTCCTCCTCCTCCAATCATGGTTGAAGGAGAGCAGCATTTTGAAATCAAAGACATTTTAGACTCCAGGACACATCATAGTTCCACACAATATTTAGTTGCTTGGAAACCTCCTCCCCAGAACGAATGGGTCCATAAACATCACATTAGGGCACCTAAGCTACTAAGTAAGTTCCATGCTATGTACCCTGAGAAACCAGACTAATCCCACTGTTTAACTCTGTTTTTTGTCTTTTACAGGTGGATCACTCTTTCTTTTAAGGGGGGGGGACTTTTGCTGGTTCAGTCTTCTCTTTTCTGCTTTCTTGGGAAGAGGTTTTGAAGCTGGTCCTTACACTAATAACGATTTTCTGTCTCAGAAGATGAAGTGATACCAATAGACATTTTGTCTATTTTGTATTCTTGCTGAAAATCAATTGGGATTAATTTGGAGCTCTACCAATCCTTAAAATATATAATTTGTATTACCTTGAAGATCTATAAATAAACCTACTATGGCCTCTTGCCAATTTCAATTATGGCTTGGCTGCAAACTAACTCCCAGTTCTGCTCAATGGCTAAACTATAAATTAAAATCTGGAACTATGGCATGTATTGGAGGACTCATGTCAAACCACGATTAACTGTTATATCAGAATAAACTGAATATGAATCTACAGTGGTTTCAGGCTTATGAACTTTCAATTCAGCTTTACTACCTCATAATCTTGGAACTAGAAAATAAAAAAAATATCACCACTATGTAAAAGAAAATATATCCATTGTTCTTGCTACAAACATTGGCTACAAAAAATAGACACAATCTTAAAATCTATTTTGTTTTAAAAACTCTTTTGAAAATTGATTACCAGAGCAGGATAATGCCACAAAATATAAACTACT